AAATCAGCTCATTTGTTTCCTGTATTTTTCTACAGGATGAACTGATTAATCCAGGTGTGTCTGACATAACTAACCAAAGTTTATTTTCCTGTTTTCTAACATTTAACCATTAAAATGAACCAAACAGATTAGACAGTTTCACTTTATGGCCGTTTTTGATTAAAACTCTGAATTTCTTTTCCAGATTGAAGCTCAAATTCACACAAAAAGAGATAATTATAGTTTTCTATCTTAACTGAATCAGATTAATATTTATGGAGTCAATTGTGTTCCATTATCATTTAAGGCAAAGGAAACAGTTTATTGGAGGTAACTTGCAAAAATGCAAAAAACATATTATTACTTTTATGTTTTGTTTATTTTTTCTGGTTTTCAAATTGAATTTTACTTATTGCATTCTTATAAAACTGCTTTTTTTTTTACGATCACATTCTCTACACTTCTGGGGGCGTGTTTCCACTGGAATGAGGAGGGAAGACGGTTTCTATTGGTCTAAAGAGCAATTGCATTGACCAAAAGAAAAAAATCAGAAAGCTTACCCCATAATTACAAGATCAGTATCTTGTAATTATGAGAAACAATATATAAAATTAAAATCTAAGAAAGAAGAAAATTTATTCTCAGTTTTCAGTTCCTGGATTTAATTTTTTCTTCTAAATTTCCTTTTAAAAAACCTGTTATTAGCATCAATAATGAAACATAATTCACTCCATAAATGTCCCCTGTTCCAGGCCCCTCAGGGCTCCTGCGGGGCCCCTCAGCTCGCCGCCTCCAGCTTCTTACCGACAGCGATCCCTGCAGGTCCAGCCAGCAGCCCCCCGACAAACGCGGTGCCCCCCGCCACTGCCGCTCCTTTGGCCGAGCTTTTCACCGCCACTTTGATCTGATCATGAGCCGACAGCTCACAGCACAGCCGCATGACGTCATCAATACGCGGCGCCATCCCTGCGCTAAAGCACGGAGGAGGGAGAAGAGTGGTCAGGTGTTTGCTGGAACTAAGCAGATAGAAAAACAAAAAATTGTCTGAATTTACATCAGTTAGAAAAAAAACTACATCTATAGTAATTAAGAGAAAAAAAATGTGTAATTTATTTTTTAGGGCCGAACCCAGAACCAGGGACCGTTTAACAGCAGGTTCGGTCCGGATGTATTTCCGACCGGGTCCCTGAAACTGCTTTGTTTTTCTGGACTGAAAGTGAAACTAAAGCCGCTCTGAGCCGAACAGAACCACCTGCAGGTCCCATTATTACCTTCCTCTGGTCCGAACGCCTCGGTTCCGCTGCCAGTGAGTCCAAACCAGCAGAACTCCGGTCAGTCCGATGATTCCTGATGCCTGCTCTCCTCAATATCGGCTTTTTCTGGCACTTCCTGTACGTCACGATGGGTACGCTCCATTTCTCACCCGGGAAGGGGATTATCGGCCTGTGTGGGCGGGATTTAGTATTTGTATAAATTTACTGTTCAGATGATGGATAAAAGATACAAATAAGACAAAAAAATCTAAACTTAATCGAACATCAACATCTTTTCTGGAGTTTCTTGTAAAAATATCTGATTTACGGAAGAGGATTAGGGCCACTGAAGAAATAAAAAGGTTAACTGATTTTAACTATTTATTTCAACATAATATAAAGAAAAAGTCAGAATTCGGACTTTTTTCCCATATTAAACGAAAATAATATTTTAAAATCAGTTAACTTTTTTTTCAGTGGCCCTAATCCTCTTCCGTTTTGATTCGAACATCAAGAAAACTGGGGGGAAAAAAATGGATTATTGCACTTTATTACATGGATGTATGTTCTTAGGTACACCATATTAATAACTATCTTATGTCATTGCATTTTCATTTTCCATACATTTTATTCAATTAAATACATAAAAAGAATGAAAATGAAAGGTTTCCATCTTCCTGCATCTGTTTTTCGTCGGTTTTTGCTGCCTAAAAGTTTAAAATCAAATTTAAAATAAAGTATTTGTGAAAAGGAATAATTTTCTGTAACAAGCAGAACAACATTAAATATCAAAGAGTTTAAATCCGATCAGTTCTCTTAGATCTGACCTCAGTTCTGCTCCTATAGAAAAGAAATAAATATGTTTTGTTTACTGGCTTATCCAAAGCAGGCGCCTCGAGATGCCCTTAGTTTGCTTACATTTAACTTCCATCAAACTAAAGAAATAAATATTAAACTATACTCATAATCATAATAAAAAATATTGACTGTTGGACTTCACAGATGAATCTTTTATTGTTGTTTTTAACTGATCCTCCATAGAAGCAGCTTTAAAGCGCCTGGGTCTGCTCCATATCCGCGCGCCGCCGCAGATGATCTGCAGAGGAGGCGAACCACCGCAAGATGCGCGGCTGCGTTTAAGTGACTGGGTTTAAAAAGTTGTGAATTTTAAAAACGTACCCATTCTCTGATATAAATATATATATTTAAAGATAACATAAATTAATCTGCCTCCATGTTTTGAAAGGAAAGTTTGAGGCGGTATCGGCTCTGTTGATTGGCTGAGACTCGATGACGCTCCTAGCCGCGTCACCGCCCAACTCGTTGATAAACAACTTTTTGATCACAACAAAGTCGGAAGAAAATAAAAAGCAAGACAGCGGCTGGATTTTTTACTGAAAGGAAAACAGTTTTCTGGGAAAGTAAGTAAAAAGCAGAGACCAGACTGTGGGAATGAGGCTGCTTTGGTTTTTGTTTGTTTAACGGGCTGACTTTGATCGCTCACCTTGATTTATGCTCAGAGGTGAAGATCAGGGTGGGTGAGGGGTTGCAGGCATTAGGTTTAAACTGTTTTCCAGCTGAAGCTGTTTTATTTGATTTGTTATCCTCTTGTTCTCTTTTTAATCATCATCTGGCTGCGAATCTCAGACACAGTGGGTCAGTTTGGGTTCTGGTTCTGGTGGATCAGGACTGCAGCTGATTGCCTCTATTTACCCTCAGAAACTAAAACTGATCAAAGTCACTTTGAACTGATCTTTTAATAAA